ACTCCTTGGGGCCAACCCTAGGGACCACCTGTTCTCTGTTCATCTTGTTTGATCTCTCAGCAGCATCTGACAAATTGGGCCACTTCATCCTTCTAGAAAACTCTTTCTCCCTCAGCTTCTCCTTTACATCCTGCCTCACCGATGCCCTCTCCTCAATCCCTGGCTGGCGATTTGTCCGCTATTTAATTTCTAACTGTGGGAGGCCCTCGGGCTCATGCCTGTAACCATTTGCTAGACTACATGTTTTTCTTATGTATTTATTTGTCTCTTCTTGCTGAAATATAAATTCCAAAAGAACAGAGGTATTTTTTTCTCCCACATTTTAAAGACATTGAAGGAGGGACGGTAAAGCTCAAGTGATAGGTGTGCATGCTTCCACGTAGGAGGTCCTGGGTTCATCTTCAGTGGATCTTAGGCAGAGTCCCATCTATGTAGGCATGTGACGCCTTCATCTGTTCAGTCATCTTCAAAAACAGGAAATGATAACCACTGTTTTTGCACAATGTAACATTTTAAAAGGAACAGAATGTCAAATGGCTAAAAGTGAAGACAATCTGAATTTAGAATTTTGTTCCTGAGTTCAGTGGAGGAACCCAGTACCTCCACTGAAATAAATAATTAAGTAAATAAACCTAATTACTTCCCACCCCCTAAAAAGAAAAAAAAAAAACTAAAGACATTGAAATAATCTCAACTTTTCCCAAAATTTGTATGTGTAGTAGAGACTTTTATTTTTTCTCAACACTTTGAGGGTACATCACCAACATGGTGCCCAGTGGCTCTGAGTCCTTCAGTGTGTAAATCCTACACAACCTCAAAACATCACACAAATCAGGACGTTAACACTCATCCATTACTGCCACCTAATCATCAGATCCCATTCAGTTTCATCCAGTGTCCCCATTTGTCCTTCTTGATAAAAAGATCTAATTCAGAATCATGCGGTATATTTGGTTGTCATGCTTTTTTCAGTTTCCTTCCACCTAGATCATTTCTTCAGTTTTTTCCCTTGACTTTCATGATTTTAGCCCTTTTGAAGACGGCAAACCAGCTGTGTTGTAAAAGCACCTGAGGGTTTTCTGACGCTCTCCTGATTAGATCAGCCTGTGCATCCTTAGCAGGAACACCACACACGTGATGCCGTGCTCCTCTCCTTGGGTCTTTTCAGGTGGCACGTGGTGTTGAAATGTTCTGTTAGTGATGATGTTCACTTTGACCATCTGATTAAGGCGACGTCTGCACATCACACCCACTGTGAAGTATTTGGGAGAGGGCAAGGTGCTTTAAGATTGCTCTTCATCAAATTTTCAATTAATGCATTTAATTATTATATCAAGTGGACCCCTGGCTTCCTGTTATCAAATTATGGTGAGCTATAATCCATCCCTGTCATGTATTCTGACGGGCACGTTGTCCCTGATTTGGCCACTAGAGCCCCTGCAAACTAGTTTCTCTGTCATTTTGACACGTCCCCATCCTCTTTGAGCACTTGTTTTTGTTTTCTGGCACAAAATGTTCTAAGGTTCACCTGGTTCTTTTCCTATTTCTGCCTGGAATCTGCCTTTGCTCCAAAGAGCCCTCATTCCTCAGAGTGGAGAAGGGTATTTCACAAACAAGACCTGGGCACTAGGGTGTCACTGTTCCCAGGCCCCATCAATGGACAAAGCTAGACGATGTGCATATTTACACGATATGTATCTCTATGCCTATCTGTTTAAATTGAATTCACATAATACCTCCAATTCCAATCCTACACCACTAGGCTCATTCATATTTTCACCTTTTCCATGTTCGTAAACCCTTTCTATGACAGTGAGAAACCTGGTACCCATTGTCCTTATTGTCCTTAAAATGTATCCTTTGTAGGTGCAAATCTACTTGTAACCTCTGCTCTCGGTTCCTGGATTTGGACCCTGTTCATCATCTCAATCCTAGCTGAATTCTCGTCTGAAGGACGAAGGACGTCCTGAGCCCCGTGACCCTCAGGGATCCCCAAGCCCATCAGCTCCCAGGCTCTACAGGAGTTGCCCATCCAAGAGGCGGGGATTGTTTCCTTTTTTTTTCACTGGTCTTTCGTTCCTCTCTCGGTTGTAATGTTTCAATTTGTTTCCCAGGTGACTCTGACAAAACTGCTGAAGAAGAAGCAATTGAAGAAGTTTCAATTCTTTTCAACGGCTATGAGCTATTTCTCAACTCTGATTATGCATGAGATTGTCAAAGCTTCATCCTATAGTTACTGTATCAGACACTTGGGAGTAGCTGTAGATAACCTGTGTGCTTAGGGTATTTGATGCACCGCTGGAGCGGAGATCCAAGCACATAGCTCTGGTTACCAGCCACAGGCAGCTTGTGCCGTGGGCAGGGACCAGCGCACCCATTAGGTTCATTGAGAGCACGTATGAAGAACTTTGGGAGAATTCTTAGGGGTAAAAGTGTCAGCAGCACAGATTCATCCCCACCCTCCCACCATCTTGCTGAAGAGTCATCTGGGTTCAAGGCAGCTGGTCGTACTTTGAAACCATCTCTCAGAAAGGGATTCCATCTGCATACCACTGCTTCTCGGAGGTGAAACCATTCAAAATTGCTGTTTTGTGGGGCAAAGTCAGGCAAATACTAACATGGTCAATATTTCCATCTAAGACACATAGAACGGTTGGGAGTGGGGCAGGTGACTCGTAATCAGCTAAGGAAACCAGTGCTCCCTGCCTGGGGCTCCGTGAGAATCCACACACCAGTGCTGGTGTCTTGGCTGGAGATCCCGGGTTTTCCCGCTTGTTAGTGCTTCATCAAGAGTT